GCCTTGACATCCAACTGCTCTAGCTCAAGATTAAACTAAGCTACGATAGTCAATAACACACGGATTGAAGTGTGTTTCACCATTGATGAAAATACCTCATTGTAATCCACCCCTTCTTTTTACGCATATCCCTTGGCTACAAACTATGATTTGTATCTGATGTCATCTGTTCCTGGAGAACCCTCATTCTTTGTGTACACCCACTGGCACCCTATCACTCACTTTCCCTTCTACAATTTAATGAGCTCTCAAATATGATTCTTGTGAATATAATTCATTTCCTGATTTGTGGCGTTTTTCCATTCCCTGCAATTACAATTGTTGATTGCCTCCTAGAATGTTGATGACTCATCACCCACCATGATAAGTGCATAAGATAGCACATCTTCAAATTCATAATGAATTGGTGATTTGACTGTCCTTTTGGCCCTCCCAATTACTAAAGATGGTTGTTGTGGTTGCTCTTCTGATGTCCCTTTGTCTAGAATAATATCTTCTGGAGTACTAAGTTGCACCTCCACAAGATCACAATTTTTATCCTTTATCTGAATATCCTTCAGCTTGTTGGAAGTTACCATAACAGACTCATCAAATGTCACATCCCTGCTGATCACAAACTTTTGCAATTCAGGCCATCAATTACTACAATTGCATCACTTCTAAAAACACCTTTGTCTTCATTAAGAGTAAGAGTCTTTCATACGCCAATCTTTGCCTACAAGTGGTGCAAATAAAAAACAAAAGTGGTGCAAATACCACTTTTAGAATTTAATTGAAATGAATTATCCTAATATCGCACTTCAAATAAAATCATTATAAAAATAAATTGCATAACAAAAATCCCCACAACTAGTAAAAAGCTTAAAAAATAATCAACAAATGAAACTTTAGGATACAAAAAAGAGAGAAAGAGTGCATACATTTCTTAGATTCCATTTGTCTCATCTTAATGAAGCAACAAACCACTGGTGCACAAACATTCTAATACCAAACAAACAACAAGAAAAAACATGATGGCGTCCAACCCAATTGATATTGAAATAAGAATTAAGCATATAAATGCTAAGCCACAACCTAGATCAAAACAACATAAATTCAGTTCACTCAAACCAAATTTTAGTCATAAATTAAGATTGAAGTATGTGGTATCCAATACATTTCCTATAAAAAAAAATTGAAAACAAATCAATTAAATCCACCAGGTGTTGATTTACTATGACATTTACCAACTAATTGGGACAGTTCAAAAGATCTAGTTGAAAACCAAGTATATTAACAATGTTACCCTAAGGATTGAAGATGCTAAGACTGATCAAGTCTTTTCTGCAAGTGTCGAGTTGGATATTAGTGCTTTTTATTTCCTTAAAACTTTTTCAGCAACCAAAACCAACCCTAAACTATCACACACAGATGCATAAAATTATGTATGTATGAATTTTATATAATTGGAATGGGAATTGAAGATATTATTGTAGGGACCTCGATTATTGGGTGTAGTCAAATAATGTTTGGATGATTAATCTGCTCAAGATATCAATCTCTACAATGAAAAACTAATTTACATGCTCAATCCTTATCTTGAGCACTATTGATGAAAAAAACCATGTTCATCACTTTCATGATTAATCTCCACTATCCAACTCTGGTCCTACGTTTATTGTAGCCGCCAACATTGATGGAAAAAGGAGCAACTATGGCCTGAATATCAAATTGTAGTAGCTATAGAGTGAAAACATGGAAAAATAAATAAATAAATAAAGCCATTGAAATAAAGAGCAGTTGTATCATCTAGTATTAAGCTACTTCAAGGAATCTGAAATTTACGAGATGATTCATCTTCTAAAATGGTAACTCAAGCAGCCACTTTAAATTAACTAGCAATGCAACACGTGTTGCACGTGAAAGTTTTCCTTAAAATACATAAAAATTTAATTATATAATTAAATTAGATATTATCTAATATTTATCATACTTAAATTATTTGTATTGTAGATAAAGATAAAAAAAAATACATATATCGATTTTTTGACATCCGAGGTAATATTTTATCAATGAAGCTGTCGATGTGTATTAATATTGGAGTTTTGAAAAAAAAAAAAGATTTACATGATATATTAGAAGTTAGTTTGTTATTTAAATATATAGGAATATAGTGGTAATCTACATATTTAAATATAAAAAAAATATGTTAGTCTTTATAATTTTTTATAAGGGTAAAATAGTAAATCAAAAGTTTTCATGTAAAGTACTTTTATTGGTTGTATGTATAGATAGATAGATAGATAGATATTTATTTCAAGAATTTGTAGGGTCTAGCATGCTTGTATCTCAACTATCTTTCTAATTGCTAATTCAATTGGAGATGAAGGATAAATGTGACATTAGAGTATCATTCAAGGGTAAAATTGGTAATAAAAAAGAATTCAAGTATCTTAACATTTAAAAGTAGTATAGATATAGATATATGTCAATGTAAATACATATATATATGTAGATTCATAAATCCCCAAAATTGCCCATTTTAAAACATTGGTAACTAACAAATTCAAATCTAGTCAAACACAAAATAATCCTCTCTTAATTAGACTAATTCTTGTTGCCAAACATGAACCGTTCGATACTATATTTGTCTATTGGGTTGGTCAGAGATCATTCAATAAATTTATTGGAAGCAAAACTAAATAGAAATACTAAAAGGTCAATCAGTTGAAGTAGGATCTAGTGTTTCAACAAACTTCTTGCAAGCAAAGCTAAATTAAAATTTTAAAATGGCAATTTGTCAGACCAAGATCAGTGTTGAATAAATTTCTGGCAAAAATTAAATTTTCATAACGGCACATAACCAGTTCTTCTTTAATGTTTCAACGGACTTCCTATATATTGTCAATCCTGGGAAACAAAACATGTCTTTCTTACAAATGGAGAGGAACCAGAGAATTTCTTGATTTGAGGAAGATGACTCAACAGGAATGTTTTCTGCAATCGATAGAACGTGAATCTTACGAAAAAGCTTTACATAGCTGCCTCCTAAACCTATCATTAGCAGCCGGAATGAAAAATTCTATGCGAAAACGTAAGATGTTTTTGCTGGTTCGTTGTCATATATCCTCCATGAGTGGTATTCATAGAAGGTGATTGTCCTATTCATTGCAATGCATTTGGATATGCAAGTTGGAATAAAAAGGGTCTAAGAATTAAACAAGAGTGTCCATTAAAAGTGTGCGTCATTCATAAAGGTGATGATTGTCCATTCATGTGTTGCCATGAACTTCTTGTTCTGCGATTGATGCACATTTGGAATGTGAAGGGTCTTAAACTACAAATAGGAGAGGATATAAATGGCCTTTAAAAATTAGAGTGGCACCCATTACAGATTCTAGCGATGACAATGATGATTTCCTGGATAGCGTTGCAGATTACAGAGATACTAGTCAAAAAAAAATTAGAGTTGGTGCCTCTATTTCTCAACATTGGGCAAAAAAATCGAAAAATAGAACATGTTACAAAAAAAATGAACAGGTTTATTTTATCAAAAATTAATTTCTTGTTCCTTGACACTAATTTGACAAATTTCATTATTTTTCTTAGTGGACTTTGGAAGCTTGAAGATGCTCATCATATACACTTAACACAGAATTCGGATTGAAATCTGGTCAATTGACAGGCTTACCCAATAGGTATGGCAAATCAGAAGGCAATGTATAACTAATACAATTAGTTACTTCCAATAAAAAATGTGAAACGTCCAAAGCAAGAAGCGCCCGTGGCCTAATGGATAAGGCGTCTGACTTCTAATCAGGCGATTGTGGGTTCGAGTCCCACCGGGCGTGTCCACCTTCTTTTTATCACTTGGTCTTCTTTTTCTTTTTCCATTCGAATTAATGTTGCCTGTTAAGTTTTGGGATTATTTTCGATTACATATATTATCAATATTATGGTTTTAATAAAATAGATGATGATTATTGGTAAACTCTTTAATCATGTACATCAAAAAGGAAATTATTGCAAACGAAATCGATAATTTTTTAGAAATGGTATGACATCAAGGTTTATTTATATAGATAATTGAGTTGAACGCATTATGACACAAGTATTGTGTCCGTTCTTTTTGTTTTATATCTTAGTAAGGCTAAGTAATGTTAGATATATTTTTTTATTGGTAATTAACTTTTGATTACTAACTATTTCTAACAATCTACTCTTTTACTCGAGTTAAACATTGGTCACAGAAGATCATTTTGTCAAAATAAATTAGTAAATTTAAATGTGAGGATTAAGTAGAAACTTGATCAAATATTAAAGATTTGATTATTGCAATTGAAACTTTAAGAATCAAATAGAAATTAAGTGTATACTTTAAGGGTGTAAATTGTAGTTTGGCCAAAAATTTATACCAGTGGTAACAGTTTGTGTACTTGATTATTTGATGCTTGTACGTGCATTGCATTCCAGGTGTTTGATAATATGCCTCAATTGAGTGTGTTTGGGGTCTCACGTAATTCTCAAAGGTCTATCTAGTCTCATGTAATTGGACCTCGACTATTCTCGAGCTCAGACTTAACCATACCAAATGGAGCATACCCACTCAGGCTCGTGTCCCTCTTTATAATTTCCCCTTCATAATATTTCATATTGATCTCCAAGGAAAAAAAAGGGGCGTAATTAAGGATATGTTTGGATTTGAGGGTTTGGGCTATGTGGATTTCATCCGAAGACCCAAATTCTCATCACTTGTTTGGATTACTTCTACATTGTGGAAGCTACGAGCAATTCTTTTTTGGCCAATGGAAAATCACCACAATTACGTGTCTCTGACATTCATGGTTATCTCGCATATTTTGATTAACATAAAATAAATCGTGGATCACACATGTCCGAAAAATCAAAACTCTCTACTTAGAGTCAAACTTCAAATCTCGTCACAGTAATCCTTGAAACCAGCTAACCTGAATTGGTTGAAGAGTAACGTTTTACAAACAAACAGATTGCATTTTCAAAAATAAGATTCGAAGAGTAACCGATTTGAAATAGTTGGGACAAGATTCGATTGAATTCAATTGAGTAGGAGCAACTTCAGAGTCAGAAACATTTAGCATGAAAGAAACTAAAAATAAGATGAACACTCAAGACTTTAACGCCCTTGGATTAATAACCAAACATAAAAAATGAGATTAGCATGCTTGCCAATGGAACTGATATGTTATCATCAACCACTCCTGTAGTCGGGAGAGACTCCACCACAGTAGCCACCAAAGAAACCAAAGCAACTCTTCCCATTGCCCCAACCAAATCGAACTGGAAGTATCCAAGGACTGAAAAGTAGTAAAGCATCCTGTGATATAAAGAAAAAATACAATTGCAAGTCAAAATCCATACAGGGCTAGTTAATTTTCTGTCATATATACTGCTTTCTGAATCGAGGGTAGCACTACAGTATCAAAAAGTAGATTTTCGGTACTGTAGTGCTACCCTTGACCAGACCGTTATGAACCTACCCAATGGAAATGGAGAAACCAAATATAAACATGGAGATGCTACCAGCCCAACTTTTTTGTGGATTATAAGGAATTTTTAAGGATCCAAATCTTCTTCCCATGATATCAGCAACACCTACAAAGCACATTGTCAGAATGGGATTGGACAAAGTACTTGAGAAATTAGCAAAGTTCTGATTTTGATCGAGTCCTTACCATCCCCACCACACATCATTGCCAGAGAAATCACGCCAGTGGGCGACTCACGCCAGAAGACAAGAGAACATAAAATCAATATCAAAACATAATACAAAGGACCTCTAAGCAATTCCCTGCGTGGCATAACAATGGAACAGTTATCAAAGTCATCGATGGAGGATAGTTGGAGAAGAAAGTCGTTATGTAATGCAATGAAGAGGGTGATGGGATAATTTACCCTGGATTTCCTTCTCGAGTCACGGATTTTATAAGTCCTTCATCAGTAACCAAGGAGAGGCCATAAATGACAAGCCTTAAGCAATTTATAAGAGGAACTAGGGAAGCAAAGTAACGAGCTTCAGTTGATGTGCTAACCTAGGATTAAAATGATCAGCTGAAGTATTTAAAGAAAGTTTAAATCTCATTCCAGAGAACATTTTTCCACCAACAATGTTGTCTCTGAAGACAAAGCAGATACCTGAAAATTGGCCAGCAAGCCACATAAAGCAACCCGGACAGTATGTGGACCAGTTTTCTGCTCAGGCTCTGCAAAAGGTTTGAATTCGAAGAATGATAACCATAAAGTAACTGAAAATTAAAATTGTCAAACTGAAAGATGATTGTTTTAACTTAAAGAATATCACAGATTCAACATGGAAAGTTCTGTTTTTGATATTTTAATATAGGCAAAAATTTCTTCGTTTAGCCAAGTAATGGTATAAAACCAATAAGCCTTCTCTTCAGAGAAAAATGGAGACAATATAAGTCACTCTGTCCACTCACATATGCACAGCTCAACAATAAAATTCCCTTACATTCTGAGAACCCCGAAAATGTTCCAACAGTTAATTGCTCCATATGGCAACTATTACATAGACGTACCCAACCACAATACTTCATGTTAGTGATTGCCTATAATTGCTAATCGGAACATTGAACGACAAGGGTAGTACAGAATTTTATCTTTTTGCTTCCCTCATTTGAATTGAACCCAAGTACTAAGCCATTTTGAATTTGAAGGAATTGCATTTTGCAGATTCTGTATTTATATACGATATCTGTGGAAAAAAATTTGTCAGTTAAGCACATGTTTACAATTACGTGATGATCTCAAGTCAAACAAGACCCTAGCATACAAGCATCATAGGTGCATTTGAGAGACATCAAGATTTCCCAAGGACTTCATGATAAAGATACAACAGAAACGAATTGTTCTTACAGCATATGCATTCAGTACCAAGCATGATACGCCAACCTCCCCAACACAACACAAACCAATAGTACTGCCTTCTTAAATTAGAAAGATTCTATAAACACATATATGCATTAGTGCAAGGATCAAAATTTCGTTTCGAAGTACCGTTTCGGTCAACTCAAAAATAGAAACGTTTCGGAAACATTTCGGAAACGCAATGGAAACGCAGAAAAAATATGGAAACGCATAGAAACACAAATGCAATCCATTAATTTATAAAGATATGCTAAATAATTTATTAATTCAACATATTTATTAGGTTAACATCAATTTATACAAGAATAAATTTAAATTTGAGGGAAAAAAAGGCTTGACTTGAGGTGAAAGTCACTTAAATTAGTTTCAAACACTTAATTTTTATGAAATAAACACATTTTTACATAATATTAAGGTCTTATAATACACATGAAATGCTAATGAGTACATACTTACATGGTTACATCCATTCCCCTGTGGAGTGTCGAGCAGGCTCATACATCGGTGTAGGCTCTGGGTAGCTACTTAGAGAAACTCCATATGTGACATAAATATGATGACAATAGTTACTCCAAATCATATTATTACGGTAATATAATCCAATTAATAATACTATTTTATTATAATACTAATAATGAAGGGTATCAAATTAAATTAATGATACTTATGTATACTTAAAAATTAAATGTAATTGCAGTGGGTATTAAATGTAATTACAGTAGGTATTAAATATAATTACATTAGGGTATTAAATGTAATTGTTAATACTTATAACAAAAAAAAAAGCAAAAAACTTGCACAGCAGTGAGGTATTAAATATAATTACAGTATGTATTAAATATAATTATAATGGGTATTAAATATAATTATAGTAGGGTATTAAGTGTAATTATTTATTCTTATAACAAAAAAATTATAAAAGACAGAAGAGCAGTGGGAATTAAATGTAATTATAGTGGGAATTAAATGTAATTATAGTGGGATATTAAATATAATTATAGTGAGTATTAAATGTAATTACAGTGGGTATTAAATGTAATTATAATGGGATATTAAATGTAATTATTCATAATGAACCGAATATATCACTTTTTTGTCGAAACGGTTCGAAACAATGCCGTTTCGACCGAAACGGTCCGAAACAGTACCGTTTCGATCGAAATGGTCCGAAACAGTATCGTTTCGACCGAAACACTGGAATTTTGTGATTCAACTACTGTTTCGTTTCGGAGTGTTGAAATTCCGAAACGTTTCGGACGTTTCGGACGTGTCGACACGACATTTTGATCCTTGCATTAGTGTTGTCAATTCACAGTTTTTAAGAGGCATGAGGGTCCAAGCAAATAAAATAACAACCATACAGTTGCTTTCTTCACATTGCTAGAAGTGAAGGCATAGTCATGATTGTATATTGTGTATATGACTATAAGCTTTATATGTGCGAATATTTGTTGGTGTCTTGGTAATCAGAACATAGCTATGTGGAGTTTTAAGTATGTATAGTTTTCAAGTGGACAAAGAAATATCCCAAATACATTGTAGACCAAGTGTTTTACAATTCCTCATCTTTATTGTTTTCATATTAAGCCATGACAGGCTTTTAAAGGTCGGAGGTTGCACCAAGTCGGCTGCCAAACCAATCCTAGCTTATGTATATACACTTCCTAACATGTGCCATTCAATATTTATTCACCATAGCAATCTGTGTGTGGCCACAGATAAAACTCTTTGGAGACGTGCCATTTTGGTCATTTGGCAGGAAATGAATGCAAGAACTTTTGAGACTAGGTTTGAAGATGAGAATGCTTCATGATATTAATTCGGTTCTAACCATTTTTGGGTATAGAGGTTGGAAAGGAATGCAAAAATCTCGGATAACAAGTTTGATGATAAAAATGTTTTGAGGGAAAGATTTTGATTCTTGTCAACCTTTTGGGCCTAAGTTACTCCAATATGTTTGTGCTCAGTTATCTTTCCTTAGTTTTTGATTTTATTTCCTTTTCCCTTTCTGTTTGTTTTCTTTTTTCCCTTTCTTTTAAGGATTGCCCATCCTTCTTGTACTACCTTTTTTTTCAATCAAAGTATCTACCATTGCTGGTAAAAAGCAAAAGAATTAACCTAAGATCAAAGGATCTGTTAAGCAAGCCACAGAACCTGGCCAACCGAAGACAAGACTAGCTGGTTTCAAGCTGGCTAGAGTTTGGTAAAGTCAGCTTTTTCTCGATTGATTCCATAATCCAGTCTTCTTACAAGACCACCTCAATGTTTGTTTTCAATAGAACCAGATTACACAATAAGGTTATTCATGAACTAAACCAATGCTAAAGGTTTCCATCCTAACATGCCCCAAGAGCATGCTTGTTGAGTCAATCTGAGAAAATATTGGGTGCTTATAAGGCACTGACAACGCCACTTGGTGCCTACACTCAATGAGAATTTGCCACACAACTAGTTTGTGGGTCACACAAGTTAGTTTTTTTCAAAATAAATTCTGATAAGATGATAAGTGATCATCATTTATTGGGCATGTAAAAAATTTTATTGGTGATGTACTACACTACATTACAGTATCATGTGGTTTCTTACGACCCATAACCAGCTAAAGACAAGACAAGACCACCCCATCGCCAGGTCAGTGTTCTTAAAAACTGGCCCAATGGAAATATAAGACATGAATTCAGTCTCAAATGTGACTTTTTGGGAACAAAGGAAGTCAGACCTGGAGAGAAACAGTCCTTGAGATTCCCCAAACACCCTCTTTAGACTTAAATTTGAATTAAAAAATGTCCTCCTGTTATCCCTTCAGAAAACATCACATGACATTCCCCAAACTTTACCACACCTCACAAAAAGCACGTGCATTGCCATAATCAAAGTGTATGCAATGGTATTCCTCCTCATTATCAAGACACTATATCATCAATCAATTATAAATTTATCAGAAAGATTGAGTGAACTTTACTACATCAAAAATACCCACCAAGTAGCATATCCAACAATGGTGATTTCACCATTATATTAAATATTTTCTCTCATTTGAGACCAAAAAATATTAACTGAAATGAAAACAGAATGGAAATTTCAAAGGCAGAAACAGCAAAAACGGTGAATCCAACAAAAAACTGCATGCTTCAGAAAGTGCTTTCTTTTTTTTTTTTTTTGTGAAATTAGAGTTGAGTCCTCGGACTTATAATGAGTTTAATCCATCAAAAAAACTTATTTGGCGATAAGTCCGTTTTTAATTTTACTAATAAATAGTTAAATCCACTATTTTTTTAAAACTCCAAAATACTCCTTGAAAGTAACATTAAATTAGCTTCTTAACTTGGGAATTACCCCTTAATTCACTATCAATAAAATTTTTTACATAAATTGAAATTCAAGTTTAAAGAATAACTGATACTCTCTCTCTCTCTCTCTCTCTCTCTCTCTCTCTCTATATATATATATATATATATATACATAAATTTTTTTACCATGCTATTGTTATTGTTACTATTTTTATGAACATATTATTGTTTTGTTGAGCATATTACTACTGTTACTTTCCTAAATATTAATACTCAATGTTATTATTTTTTTTATTTTTGATTATATTAGTTTTTTGTGTTTAAATGTTACTATTTTTTTTAATATTACTATATGTATGTACTAGTCATAACTCGTGCCTCAAGGCATGATGAAACATAAGATCTTAGCGTTCAAAAAATTGATCATACTAAACCAAATTTCTACCTATTATTTTCTTAAAAATAGTGTCAAAACTTTCTCAAAATGCATAACTCGACAATTTTTTTTCAATATGTGTACACTATCGTATATAGATAATGTATGAAATAAAAGTTGCGTTAAATTACAAATTAACTAAATATAAATGATTAAATATGTAATAGAATTAGGTGACGTGATGTTTCTTGGAAAAAAAATATATAGAGAATAAAGATACAACTTGTTAACTGATTTATTATATATATAAATAATGAAAAATGTTATTTGGACCTAATATAGGGACCTAATTCAATACAACCATTAGATTGGTTGTGGGCTCCATTTAATATTAGAACTCATAACTAATCCAATGGTTGCATTGAAGCCACATTATTAGGTCCCCAAATAAGGTCTCTATAGCATTGCTCATATATAATAAAGTAGAACGAAATTTGAATCCAAAAAACAAAGAGAGGTCCAGATCATTTTGAGACAAAACATAAACAAATCTAACAGACAACGTAATCCCAACAAAAATATCAGATCTTTCCAAAAATTTTGATCTAACAATCTGCAATGAGTATTAACTTTTATTTTTCCGCCCAACAATTATAAGAGACCTTTAATTCTAAGACTCTGAAGTCTCTCTCTAACTTAAAATACATCTTTTCTGGTCTCATAGTTTATCTGTTAAATCTTCTCCCGTATTTTTCTCCTCTCTCACTCCTGTGTTGCCCTATTCTTTCTTGCCCCTCTCTTTTCTCTTCTCTCTTCTCTCTTCTCTCTCTGCAAGCCGGAGCTACCAAAGACCAACGGCCCAATAACCACCGGAACCACCACCAAAGTACTCTTTCCTCCCCTCCCCTCATTCTCCCAATGCTTCTTATCCCCAACCCATCTCCACGACAACCACCAACGAGCTTTAAGGGAACCACCAAATACACCAACGACAGCCCCCTAACCACCTCACATCAACCCCATCAAAACCCCCAAACCACCCCCATCACTAAACTGCCAAACCAACCCCACTAAAATCACTCTAAGATCACAGAATCTCCAATCACACCGAAACCCCCAAAACCCTCAAATGAGCCCCATGGAAACCCCCAAACCAGAACCACCACCGAACCCCTAAAACACCGCTAAATCATCCTCACCGAAACCACTTCAAGATCGCAACATCTCTGAACCACACACTTACAAACAAATTTCAAATCACTTTGTGTATGTATGTTGTGTTTGGTTTGTGTAACTTTGTTCGGTTTGGATTATTTTATATATTAAATTATTTTTTGACATGTATTCATTCGGGTGTTGATTGAATTTGATGATGATGAATTTTTTTTTCTTTTTTGTAGTTGATTGAATTGTTTTATGAGACTTGAGATTGGTGATGGGAGTTTGCTAATTTTGATTCGAATTTCTTGGCTTTTTCAGGGAAATGGGTACACCCTACTATGCGGCAACAAAGCTTTTGAAGTGGAACTATGAGTCAGAGGTTGATATATGTTGTGCTGGTGTGATTCTTTATATTTCATTATGTGGGGCTCCACATTTTTGGGCAGGAATTATTCATTGCCATTGGTACATACCTTCACTTTCTCTAAAATATCTTTTTTGATTTACTATATTTCTAAGTACACAGTTTGTTAGATTAAAATTTTTGGTTGATACAATATTTCAGAAAACAAATTTTTACAGAATGTGACCTTAAATCATGTGTTTGACCAAACTGAGATGAGTTTTTTTATGGCCAGGTAGCATCAATGTTTGGAGATTTTAGGGTTTTTAATTCCTATTTGTTTAAAGTGTAGCAATCTTCTTTGATTGCGAATCTATTTTCTTTCAATGAATTTGTGTTGATTTTGGCTCAATTATGAGTACTGATCTGACAAAGTGTTTTTAGGTTTTTATTGAATGTCATGTATTCCACTCTGATTCATAATATCAATTTGTAATAAAGCCCCCATGGCGCTGTATATGACAATTTTATGAGCCCTAGAATATGAAGTGGAGAGCTACAAATCTGATTCAATCAGGAATTAGATATCTGATGTGACCAGAGGCTAAAATCTAATCTAATCCGAAAACAATGAATATGGATGCTTATACATTTTACATTTGTATAAAAGTGGGCATAAGCTCTATTACTTCTGCTTTGTGAGAACTCTTTCTAATCTTCTTGATCATGTATATAGCGACTTTTGGTCGAAATGTTTCGTCCGTGAACCTAGGCTTTTGAGTCGAATCACATAATCCTGCATGTTCTGTGTTTTTATGTGTCAGTTTGACTTTCTTTTTTTTTTGTTATGATGAATAGAAATTAATGAAAAAGAAGCAAATATTGTGATCATCCTCCCCCTTATCAATTGTATTTTCGGTCTTCACTACTATCCTGTTAGAGGATACTTCTTATGTTCTACAGATATGAGCCTGTTCAAAATGTTTGAATAGGCATTGCCATCACTCAGTTTGGTACTGCAATCTGCTCAAAATCATGTTACTTCACCATAACTGAGTATTTGATAAATTATAATGGTAAAACATCATTGGTAGGTAAGAGTTAGCCTGTAAAAAAAAAAAGCAACGTAATAAACCAGACAGACAGGGTCTAGGGAGTGTCAACTATATATAAACTTATCCTGATTTACGGAGAGACTGTTTATGTGAATTCGAATCTGTATGTGACACTACAATCACAGTGGAATTACGACAATGATCTGATATAAAGATTAATATTGAGGTGGGGCCTGTGTCTTTTGCAATAACCATCACAGTTCCTATATTTCATTATTATCCTTGAATGTCGATGGTATAAATTTTTTTCTAAGTTCTTCTTTTAAACAAAAGAGCAATTATGTTCTGTTAGTTGGGTGCTACTTTTCCTTTGTGACATGCTTCTTCTTTAGGTTGTTATTGAATGTCAACAAAATGCCTATATAAAAACCAGAACACTGGAAAAATTAACAATTAACTTTTAAGTTGATTTGAATTTTTTTTTTAGAAAACTTTTGCCAAAATCAAATGAAATGGGGTTCATTTCAGCATAGTGTGAGTAATAAAGTGTAAAGGTAAAAACATTTGTATAGAATTAAAATACTGTTATGCCGAATTGCTCATTCGACCAACATGTTATATTGGAAAAGCTTTCGTGAATGAAAATTAGTAGGTTTGTGTATATTTTTGTCATTCTACTATTTGACCTTGTAATTTTTGTTTCTTTTTTTTTAATTAATTTCTTTATTTGTGGTCGTGCATGCTTCACTAATTTGTATGCACCTAACTTTGTGCAATTCATTCAAGAGTTTCAATTACTAATTTAGAGAGGTTGTGGTTATTATTTAGTTGCTTAGTTGCCACTATGACTACTTTAAATCAAGTTTAATGGGTTTTTATAGTTATTCAAGAGTAAAAATTGATGTTTAATCAAGCCTAGAATTTTTTGTTGTTCCATGGAGGAAATGATGTTGCATTGTTATGAATAATTCTCCTCTATGTAATATTATAAGATGAAATGTGTATGCGTGAAGATCGTGAGTATTGAGTTATTATGTGCAGATTTAATAGGGTTGAAAATATTGACGTGATAGTCAATTATGGTTATTTTAAGTTCAGTTCAATTAATATTTGTGGGTCCTATAATTTCTTTTTTGGTTACTAAATTTTTTTTCTCATTTGCTAATTTTTGTGGGTTTGATTTTTTATTCGAGCGATTTTGTTGTGTCACAGTGCCTTCAGGCACGGGCATTAGCTAGTGTATATATATAAGAGAGAAAAAAATAAATAGTTCTATTTTATATATGAATATAAATAGATATGAGAGACGGGGAGAGAATTTTAATGTCGGTTAAACTCCAAAATTTAGGAGCGGTTAATTTTTAAATTTGTTTTAATTAAATATAATTATTAGGGGTATTTTGGATAATTGGCATCAAAATAAATTTAATATTAAACAGTTTTTTTTTATGGATTTATCACTAAATAAGTCAACAGGGCTGCCTCCAAATTTCCCTTTTTATTTTATCTTCACTTCAGAGGATTTACTAATGAAGAAATTAACATAAATTTGTATAAGCTAGTTTCAATCTAAATATTCACATATGTGTTTGTGTCTTCGAAAATATGAGTGTGGATCCATGTATGTAAGGAAGAAAGACCTGTTCAATGAGGTTGCGCTGGGTGAGATAATCGAAAGATGAAACGAGACCGTACGCGCCGACCATGAGCATCACCGACGCTCCGGCGTCCTGCAGAATCGCACGACCCCCGCCTCCAATGAAAGGTACGGCGCCAGCACGGAATTGATACGGCTCTACAAGAGGTTTGGCAATTGCATTTGACCAAACTCGATTCGAGCTGAACCGAGTGGAAGAGAGAGAAGGCTTAGAAAGGTATAGATGACGCCCAAGGAGAGAGTGTCCGGAGCCGATGAAGGACACCGCGGAGGTGATGGCGACGGCGGCCGGCGACGCCAAGCCTGTATGAACACCTGTCTCCATCTCTATTTATATACCACACAAAACTCTTTGTGAGTCGGTGTGAATCAGGACATCCTATTTTTGACACTGACCGACTGCTCTTTATTGTTGCCTGCGGAATCAATAATCAGTCTTCGGTAAAAAAAAAAATTGGTATCATTCCCTTTGAATCACGCTTTGCATCCCAAAAGATTTAAGTGTTTTTTTATTTTATATTTTAAAATTATTTTTTTTATATTATATATCTTTAATGTATTATAAATATTACAATATTACTTTTCTGTTAAATTATTTTGTCAAATTTCACTTTAGTGAGGATGAATAAAGAAAACGGAATAATTACATAGCAATATTTTTAATATATTAATGATGTAATATAACACATTTGATCTTGAAAAACTCTTAAATTTTTTAGGGTATAAAGTACAATTTGTTCTATCAAAATTGGTGAAAAGAATTATACTATCTAACATTTGAAATATTACATACAAACCTCCTTTAATTTGTATTCGTATAACACTTAGACATCGGTCGTCAATATCCATTAATAAATTATATTCAAACCCTTTGAAGTTTTTAAATATATAATACTTAAACCCCTCAAATTTAAAATATTATACTTACATCAAAAATATTTCAATCAAATATCAAATATCAAATATTTTAAATTTTACGATCAAAATTCATATTCTATTATGACATTTATTGAAATAAAATTAAAAATAAAAACTAATTTTTCTTAAAAAATCATAATTAGTATACAATCATAATATATATTAGAATTTAATTTGGTCAGTTAAACGATCAAATTAAATTACCAAATTATTCCAATTAAAACTATAAATATTGTGTCTATTACAGTTTGATCATTTGTTTGATTTTTTAATTTTATTCTAATAGATAATATAATTGTATATTAATTCTAATTTTTTAAGAAAAATTAAATTTTGATTTTTGATTTTTGATTTTATTTCAAAAAATGACATAATAAAAAATGAATTTTGATTGTAAAATTCATATTCTATTATGAATAACTTAGACCCTTTATTTTATTTTATATATTTGATAGGAATATTTTTTGTCTAAGTATAATATTTTAAATTTGAGAGTCTGAAGATTATACGCTTATAAACTTCAAAGAGTCTGGATATAATTTACTATATATTAACGAACATTTGAGTGCAGAGGTCTAAGTATTATGCGTATACAAACCTAAGGAGATTTGTGTGTAATATTTTAAATATCAAAGAATATTAGTGATTAAATGAAAAACCTCAACTCTGGATTTAATTCTCCCAAATTAATAATAATCATAAATTTTAATTTAATTTATTTATAATTATTAATCAAAAAAATAATAAATTATTAAATTTACATGTCAAAATTTTATTGGTTAAAAAGAAGAGGTGCTATAACAAAAATAATAATTTTATTCAAATTTAATTTATTAACTTAATTCACTACATTTATTGGATTGACAGTAAACTCTAAGACTTTCAACTAATTTAACAATTATAATAAATTAAATCAATAAATTAAATTTAAATAATATTAATTTACCAAAAATCCATTTATATCACATTTGATACATGCAATCCATTTAACATAAAAAAAATGCCACAAAATAATGCACATTGTATATGTACAAAAAATAACTAATTATCACCATCGTAAAAAATAGAGTTAATTGCCATTTTTGTAATTAAAAATATCAATTATTCCCTAACAATTCATTAAATTTGTTTAATTAATGATGTTCCAAACACACTGAGATATTAATATAATAAAACTATTAAACTAAAATTTAATGGCTAAACATAGTAAAAAATTTTTTAAATCGATTGGCACATAGTAAAGATTATAATCAATACTTGAATAAAAATAGAGACGATTTCTTGTAAAAAAAAAAAGTTAAATAAAGGTCAAGTGTAAGAACTTTCATTTGCAAAAATTCATAAATAATAAAATTATGGTCATCTAAAGAAAGCCTTAATAAATTAAAAAACTTATCTCATTGTTCTATTTGTCTTTACAATATTGCTCAGTATTATCTATATGATTACAAGTATTGCAGAAAAATTTAAAACTCCATGTCATACCCAAAATAAACTAAGAAGATAAAATATATCATGATCAAATTAACGACTCAATCGATTAAAAAATTAGATCAATACCAAATTTCAACAATTTGAAATCCATTCCAAGTTTTGGGGATCAATCATAACTCAATTTCATTGAGTCACAACTCAATTTATTTGAGTCACAATTTAACGTGATTAAGTTTTAATTTTTTATACGATACTCAAATTTCAACAATATGAGTCCAAATTTTTTTTTCTAAAATGGACTTGGTTTTTTAATTCTTTTGGGTGGAGGTGAGCCTAACATGTTTGTTTTTGATTTTAGATGGGTACAAGTAATATATTATACAAATATAATATATATATATATATATATACACTTAGGTAATCAATTTTTTTTTTCGAGGGAGACACTTACCGATCCTGGACCATGCATAGCTCCGCCCTTAATACCCAAATTAACTTGCTTGAGTCTTGACCTTTATTCCCCCTGTAACTGGTTTAATCAGCCTTGGATTGTGTTCTAATCTTTAGGTTTCAAAAAAACAGAAAGAGTTACGGGAGCTACAAAGCATTAATGGATTGAAAGAAGAGAAATAATAAAGTGGGTTTTTATTTTTAAATTGCTACGTGTGGTATTCTTGATGCAAAAATGAAAATTGAATATAATTATCAGTTATTGCTCAAAAAAAAAAAATATGTCATTATCAGTTTCTCGTAGTGGTATAGGGCACATCGTGTTTAAATCACATGGCCATAGGGGTAATATGGGTAGAGGGTTTTATAGATGTGCACTTTCAAAAAAAAAAAACATAAAGAGAATGCCAACACTACTGCGGAATTATCACCGTATATTCTCCGTTAATCCGTTAAACACAAGAAGCGTTGACTTTTGACTTAGCTCATCATTCTCTGTCCTCCTTCGTTGTTCTCTCCGGTCCTTCCCTATTTATCTCTTGTGTTCTTCATTTTCAAAGTAGTAACCCAAAATTAAATTACACTTCCGTCCCCTCTTTTGGCCCCCTCACAATTTCCCGTCAATTTTTGCCTTCTTGATAGTGAAAAATGGAGGGCAGAGGGGCGTCGGGTCAGGGGACGGTGACGTGTGCGTCGTGGATCCGACGGCCGGAAAACGCTCATCTGGTGGTTATGGGAAAGTCGAGGCATGGGGATAACCCTGCCGTGCTCGAGATCTTCTCCTTCGATCCCAAGACCACTTCTCTCTCTTCCTCTCCATCGGTTTCTCTCTCTCTCTCTCCCTCCCTCCCTATATATACACGCACACACAGCCCCCAAACTTATTTTTTTCTTTGTTCATGTGCTTTATCTTGCTTGTGTTACTCTAGGCTACGTATGTATTTGAAGAAGAAGGTGATCCGGTGAGCTTTGCTGTGCACCCAAGCGGCGACGACATCGTTTGCTCTACCACCGCTGGTGGCTGCAAGTCCGTCTCTCTCTCTCTCTCTCTCTCACACACACACACACACACAAACTTACAACTCAAAATTTAGTACTCATATTTCCAATTTTAGGTGCAAATAACTTTCCATTTAATTAATTATCTTTTGTTCCATTAAAGGTTTGGAGCACATTAACCACCAAGAGCAAATTTAATAATTTCTGATGGTATGAATAAATTGTCATTTCTTGAAATTGATTGTTACTTTACAGTTATGAAATTTAATTTAAAATTTGTAATATGCAAGCAATATATGTCTTTGTGGCTGTTTCTTTTTGGCATTTATACGATATACTTGAACCTTGGATAATCACGATTTGGCCACACGCATACTCTTGGTTATATGTTGGAGAGGCTAATAGTTGATAATCATGCTATGTTTGAGGATGTGTTGAACTTTTAAGTTATCTGATCTTTAAAGTTTGACCTATTACTGTAAGGCCTTAAATATGGCTAACTTTTAGATTTTACTGTACCCTTGGGTTCTTACAGTGTCTTACATCCCTTCAGTGGGTCTAGACACAGGATGATTTGTTTCCCGTTATGCGCAGATTGTTTGAGTTGTATGGTAAAGAATCATATCTGAAACTGTTGGCCAAAGACTTAGTTCCTCTCAAATGCGTTGGCCTGCAAATATGCTTAGCTTTCAGTGTTGATGGATCTAGATTTGCTACTGGCGGGGTGGTAAGCAATCTGATTCATAGTTAATATCCTCCTTCTGGTCTGCGCACATGAGTTTTGGTTCATTGGACTTATATTTTGTGACTTAATACCTTGATTAAATGAAGGACGGGCATCTCAGAATCTTCGAGTGGCCTAGCCTGCGCATCATTCTTGATGAACCAAGAGCTCACAAGTCATTCCAAGATATGGATTTTAGGTAACTATGATCTTATCAGTTGCATGTGATGTGATCATTTATTGATTTTCATATGTGCAAATGTATACTGCAAAAGTAATCCAAACTTCTGTTCAGCCAGATCTTGTCTTGTTATCTCTTGCTTCGTACCTAAATTTCTTCTTTACCAAAGAAATAAAAAAAAGAAAGCACTAATAGTGATTGGGATCATGAAAAACCCATCCTTTGTACCTACGTGAAGTGAGGGCAGAAGACTCGCCATTAAATTTATTTATGCCTTTCTTTAGCTTATTTTTAGAACTTAACTGTGTAATTTCTTTAATTTTAAGATTTGTTTAATTTAGTTTCATATTTGAACTTATTGTGAGAACCCTATAAATACTAGCTTATTGTAATTAGAATTACCTGTTGCTATTAATATTCAATATTGGCCAGGAATTGGATTTTCTTTCTCATTCTTCTTCTTTCTCTTTTACTCCCTTTGGTCCTGTCTCAAGTATATCACCAATTTATTGAATTTTTTTTCATGATGCCTATGCTACATCTTTATCGTTCCATTGAAAAACAGTAGATTGGAATGTTTATCTATCATTCTTTTATCCGCTATTTTTAAAATTTTAAGGTATCTTCTGATCCTTGTAAGAATTTTAGGCTTGCTAAAGAGGTTTGCTATATTTGACTTATTTTCAGCCTAGACTCTGAGTTCTTGGCTTCTACATCTACTGATGGTTCAGCAAGAATATGGCAGGCAAATGATGGTGTTCCATTGACTTCTTTGACTCGAAACTCAGTATGTTTTATATGGTCCAACAACTTAAGTCATCCCAAATTTTCCTTTCTATGTGGGTTTTTATCATCATATTTGTTTTTTCCCTGCTACAGGATGAAAGGATTGAACTTTGTCGGTTTTCTAAGGATGGGACAAAACCATTCTTATTTTGCACAGTGCAAAAAGGTATATTCCATTTGGTTCAAGAGAGCAGGATAATAAACTTCATTGTTTTCTCTTTGGTACTTGTATCATTGAATTTGAAGTATGCCTTTCTCTATAAAACAGGTAACAAAGCAACCACTGCTGTTTGGGACATGAGTACTTGGAATAAAATTGGGCATAAGAGACTACTAAGAAAGCCTGCTTCCATGATGTCCGTCAGTCTTGATGGGAAATATCTTGCACAGTAAGTGCTCAGCAATCTTTGAAAATAACTTGCTCTATGAGTGCTTAGTGTGCCTTCTAGACTTCTGTTGATTTAGGCTTAGGTTGTTATTCATGGAGAAGTAAGAAATGTAAGTAAAACAAGTACATTTATTTAGGATTGTGATTTACTTGATCCTTTGTTTATTCATCATAGGCTTTGAATCTGTCAGGATTAAATGGATATTCTGTAATTTGGTGGCAAACTTATTACAATCAATAGAATCTCAATATAATCCACTGCCCCTAAAGGCTAAAGCACAACTTTTTAATATCTCTATGATCTCTCCTTAAAACAAGCTTTTAAATACCCTAAATAATATGGATCATCTGCGTATATCTGCTTGATGGTTATGTTTTAGACAAATTTGAATTATAACTGAAGAAGCATGTTAAAAAAAGGTGGCCAAGTGCACGAGGCTCCTGTCATTTCAGGAGTTGGGGAGGCTCAGATGTAAGCAACTATGCCTACATGTGTGAGGCTGTTTCATTGGACAAAAATGCATTGCTAATATTTTACAATTAGGATTGTGAGACTAAAGAGCCTTTAGAGGAATTTTCTGGGAGGGCTGGGGCGTATATTCTGTAACTTGTTTGAGAGGAATCATCTGACAAAAGGGTTTTGGGCTTAGAAAGTTTAGACAATTAAGCTGTGTTGGAAAATGGTTGTGGAGATAGTTTTAGAAGTTATCAGCTTGGGGAGAAGGATGTCTGAAAATTAACTTGCAAGTTAGAGGGATATTTTATAATGATTGACACAGGCGGAGGTAGCTTAGGTCCAAGGGTGCCCCCCCTCAAATTTTTTTTGTTAAAAATTTCTTAGATGTAGTTATATATTGATAGTAGTATATATTAAATATTTTAATTATGCCCACCCTATGATTTTCTTAATGCATCAATTAATATACCCAAATGATTATGAACTTTTGAACAAGTTTCGGACAAGTTATAAACATGTCTTTGATAAGTTTTAGATATATAGGGATTAATTCATAGTGTTTGAAAAATTATGATACTATTCTATTATTGCACAAAATTTAAGGTCACTATAATAAAATATAGTGTCATTTGTAAGTTATCCATAAAACTCAAAGTCACAATTAAATATTACAAAATTACTTAGAGATAGAAATTTTAAAAAAATTGATATAAATATATTTATTTAATATGATTATGTTGGTCTAAAATCCAATGACCAACACATATATAGAGCGAGAAAACGATCAACAATTGTGCGGCCTGCTGTGTGATCTTCTGACGAGATTTGTGATTTTTCTCTATTTGAGGTCCAAACAGTCGACGATAATTTTATGACTCTAAGACACATGAAACTTTTTAATATAGCATTTAATTTTCAATTCTAGTAGGGATTACTGATTTTGGTACAAAAAAAATAACAAAGACTACTGTTAAAACTTGGTTAGTTTATCGAATTGATAATAAATAGATATGTAATAGCATAATTACACACACACACACACACATATATATAAAATAATCTAGTTATTGTGCAAGGCTTTCAAAGAATAAAAATCTATCACACTGTCCAATTTAAATAATTTTACATAGCCTTCTTTAGAAGAGATGGTAATTATCAATTTTTTTTTGTTAGTACATACTATACTATGCTTATCGATTTTTAGTTTTCCGGTTTAATAAATTTAAAATATTAAATATGCTATAAGTAAATATAAATATGTTATTTTATATCGACAACAAAGAAAATTAAAACTTGTTAAATTGTCTAGTGCCCACCCAAAAAAAATTTTCTGGCTCCACCCCTCATGATTGAGGTAATAAGCTTGTAAGGGTACGGTGGAAAGGAATGTGGGGTAAGTTCTCTTTGCCTAAAAGTTCTATGCTAAGGGATACCCAAGGGTCTGGCATGACAGTTAGCACCGACAGTTGTTTTGGATAGTCTTTTCCTGTGTTTGTACCAAAGTTGATTAGAACCTCTATCATTTGAGTCTTATTTACGCTGGTTTGGTGTAAAATCCTTGATTAATCTGGATTAAGAGTAGTTACCAGGGTTTCCATTGTTGGGTTTGTGCTCTAGACTGATGTTTCTGGAAATTAAGAGAGGTTTTCCAGCATGGAAGGGTCCATAAGGGTGTCTTTAGAGTGGTGCTGAATTACAAAATGTGGATTTTGTGGGTGAGTGGTCTCTTTAACAAGGCAATTGTCTTTAAAAGCCCATCTAAAGTGGTGTTTTTTTTTGGGCTGGATCGCTGCAGAGGCAAAACCACTGATAGTTTGGTGAGGAGGAAAATTCTTCCCACTTGATGAGCCTGTAAGAGACTGACCATCTCCCACTAAATTGATCCGTGATTAGGAGTTCATGGGGTTGGCTGCTCTCGCTGTTTGGAATTTTAAGGAGCTGTTATTAAGAGGTCTATATTTCAAGAAAAATTATTTTTGTTTTAATGTCTGGTGGCTTTTGCACTGGTTTTACAGAAGGATCCTTCTCTCTCTCTCTCTCTCCCCCCCCCCCCAAAAAAAAAAAAATACATACTTATTTACTTTCTGCTCTACAATTGATCTTGTAGGTTAAATATGAGTAAATAGCATTGGTGAAAATGGTTTATGGAAAAGACAGGATGATTTTTATTTCTTCAGTCAAACCTATATAGTTCTGATGCTACGGTTTTACCTCAGAATTTTGTTTGGTTCCACTATGAAAAAAGATGTTTCAAGAGTTTCTAGGATATACATCTTGTTTGTATGTTTGGATGGGAAACAAAAATAACTAAATGACGAGAAAGGAAGTTTGAGAGAGGGGCTTATTAAGTAAGGGTAGACTTACAGAATGGGAGAATGATGGTAATGAAGGAGTAGTTTCATCAAGTACAAAGACACAAATGAAATAGTTATGTTTTTGTCTCCCGTTTGCTTGGTTTTGTTGTTCAATTTTCCCTTTTGAATGGGAAATGGAATGGATATATGGAACTGATCATAAAATAGAAAATTAGGTATTTAGCTTCTTTATAGTATCAACTCATTTTCTTCTCCATTGGCTGCTATCTTATGAAGAAATCATTGCAAAGTCACATATCATGTGGCTATGATTATCCAAGAGGCTAATTATGAGCATCCACTTGTGGAAATTATCATTAACTTCGTTTCGTCGGATTGGACTGCAATTTGATAATGAGTTATTCTGAAATATCTGATTTTTTAGGTTGGGTTATTTTGATAAGTATTGCATGGTATAAGATTTATGGTGCTGAATGGCTAAACCAATGGACTATTGCAGACATCTTGGTTCGATCACAATTAGCAACTTTTTGACAAGATGTTTCCAACTAGTTGTATAAGTATTGTACATAGTGTCTTCAGTTTGTGATTTAGTTAATAACTTTATTAATTTCTTTTTTTTTTTTTTTTGGAAAAAGAGTTTGATAGCTTGTGATTTAGATTGAGTGATATTTTTTTTGAGTACAGGGGAAGCAAAGATGGAGATGTGTGTGTAGTTGAGGTGAAAAAAATGGAAGTCTACCATTGGAGCAAGAGGCTTCACCCAGGTTCTTCCATTGCATCGTTGGAATTCTGTCCAAGTGAAAGGTATGGTGCAATTAAACATTATTCTATTAATCTTCACTAACAGAAAAGTACTAGCAGCGTTCTATTTTTAGGATATATATCTTGTATTTTAACTGATCAAAAGAACATGCATCTCATTGTTTAAATACCATGCTTGTTTGATAAATGTTTATATGAAATGATTCATTGATCTTTGTCCAAGGAAACAAGTTGAATGATTTATTAGGCAACAAAGGTATTCTTGTAACTTGGTGGATTCCATGGTTATGGTAATGTTATTTCAAAGTATTAAATGAATTGTGGAATAGTTTGGATGGGCTGCATATTCGTGCTTGAGAGTTGTGACGCTATTTTTATAATGCTGATAATATGATCATATTGATTGTTTGGAGTCTCAGCCTCATGCTATTGAGTATCACTAGTAACCAAACAAATGTTGCAAAGGAATAATAGATGTTGGGCTCTGATTTAAATATTCTGAAAGTTGCACTATATAATATCTTTGGCTGGGCTGCATTTTTGCAGGGTTGTGCTGACCACTTCTGCTGGATGGGGAGCCATGATCACTAAGCTAAATGTTCCTGTCGATTGGAAAGGTCTCTCTCTCTCTCTCTCTATGTGCAGACTCGCCCACACACCTCGCACATGTATATTCAGTACTCAGGCTTAAACTTTTGTCTTTTTATGTGCAGAGTGGCAGATCTATCTATTGCTCTTGGGACTATTTGTGGCCTCAGCTGTTGCATTTTACATATTCTTTGAGAATTCGGATTCATTTTGGAACTTCCCGCTTGGGAGGGATCAACCCACGAGACCAAAGATCAAAGCTATTCTGAGAGATCCGCAGTCTGATGATCAGGATATGTGGGAACCATTAGATTTGTGAACAATTGTGGGTTTCAGCCACTGGCCGCTTTGGACGATATGATCAGCAAAAAGGGGTACAAAACAAAGGTTAATTTTCAAGGCGGACCAGCCACCATGTAACATGCATATTTTTTAGAGGATGTAAAAGAACACGAGTTTGCTATTTTACTGCTTGGCATTTCAGTTAAGTGTTGGATATCTTTCTTAGTGAAACTATTTGCCACCATAGCAATTGAAGTCAATTATTGTGGGATAAAGGCGAAAACACATGAACTTCGTTTTTTTTTGGGAAATTTAATAGCAATCAATTAAATCCGAAGGATGGGAACATTTGCTTGGGACGTAGCTCAATCACGTGTGGGGCGGGGGACAAGAAGGGCCCATTGCCGTTAGGGGTTGCTTTGAAACTTGATGATTCAGACCTCACCCCTCGTGGCAAAATTCTTTGAATGTTGGTTCAAAATTTTGAAAATTACCTCAATTTGTGCAACGAATACCACAGTTAGAGTGACGAAATGGTAATTGAACGATTCTGTTTAGCAATTCTCGAATGACCGTTGAAGATATCAAATGTTGTAGGTGTTTTTTCAATTTTTTTTTTTTACTTAATTTCCAAAATTTTTACAGTGTTTGTTTCTCAAAAAGTAGTAGGGAATCGACCGATATGAGCTCCGGACAGTACAAAGTAGTTTTTTGGTTTAACGGTCAGGTGTATTCGAGTTAATTTACGCGTATCTCAATTAATTTCATTTTCGATCTAGTTAAAAGTAGACTATTCATTTCGAAATTATGATATTCATAAAGAATTTATCTTTCATAGTCCTCAAATTCAATATGTCTGAGTTTATAATTTGTCTTTATTATCGTTGGAGTTACTACTTAGGCTTAAAGTTTGCATCATTCTAAAATCATATAACTAGGGGTGTTCACCCTACCCTACGGGTAGAAAATATGGTCTTTCGCCTTCCTACCTGATATTTTACGGAAGAATTTTTTTTTAGCTTATCCTACTCAATCAAGTGTGGTATTCCTACCCGATTTTGGGCCTAATTAATCGGGTAGAAAGTCGGGTAAAAAATTGGATGAACACTTTTGTAGTTATTAATTTTTGAATTATTTTAACAATTCAATTAAATAATATGCATCAATTTAACAACACAATACACCAATAATACTAAAATTTAAAACAATTATAACAACAATTATAATAAAACACAAGAACACATAAATATCAATCCATCATAATTGTTGCACAGATACAATAATAATTATTTTAAATTTAAACTATGTGGTTAGAGAATTAAGGTTTTTAGTTTATATATATCTATACTATTAATAAAAGTACTTTAACATGAAAAACTTTTACATCTCTGTTTTACCCTTTGCAAATACCATTATATTTTTTTACAATTAAATATCTAAATTATCATCATATCCTTAATATTTAAATCTCCAAATTATCTTTAACATATCTTTTAATATCTATGTATAAATATCAATTCCTATAAAAAAATTTGATTAATTATATTATCCTTAAAAATATGCCCCATTATATTTTTAATAAAATGTTCAAAAAATCTTCAAAAATTTCATCAATCTAATATTACTCATCTCATATACAAAGATAACATTATGCCTACATATGTGTATTTTCTATTTCATCGAAAAGCTTAATCCTTTTATTTCTAAGAAAAAAAAATAACCATAAATATAATTTTTTTAAATCAAATTACTTGACATCAATATAATTCTTCACCCACAATAAAATTTTTAAGCTTTATTAAGATTTTACGTGAAAATAGATATTATAGTATATTTTTAAGTAAAATTTGAATTGTTTAGATTTTTAATATGCTTGATAATATATATTATAGAGTAGTATATTAAATTTGATCCCAATTCACTTAACCAATTCTTAATTACAGTAAAATTCCAATATGTTTAGTATATTGATAAATACTTTTATTTTATTTAATGAATTATAAGTGACATCCTAATAAAATGAATTTCAAAAAATTTAATTTCTCAAAGATCATTGAAAAATAATCTCAATCACAAAAATGTTAAAAAAATAGAATTTTAATTATTTTTTTAATCTTTTTTCTCAGAGTTAGAATAAAAATTTTTAGAAACATACAAATTTTTCGTAATCCTACAATAGAATATAGGTAATGAAAAATTAAATTTGTTAAATTTAAAATAATATTTAATTCATTTATACATATATACATATATATATATAATATTTTATTATTTTTATGTAAAATTTCTTATGTAAAACGAGTGTGCTGCATTGTTTTAGTAAGAAATAAATGAGCATAATAATGACCAAATTTGAGCATCTACAGCATTCAAGTGTCACCATTGATTGATTGATATGCCTATAATATCATTGTCAATATTGTATTAAAATTGATTATATTTGTAGATTTTGGTTTTGATATTTTAATTGTTAAAATTACTATTTGGTACCTTAATCGAACTTATCACTGATTGCTTTGCTTTTCTTGGTTGGATAATTATTGTTCATATTTTCTGTGGTGCGTAGGCTGATGCGACTTTCCGCATGGCAGACGAGCAGTCTAGTATATATAAATTAACGTGGGTAGAAAATAAGATTGTTAGTTCAACGGTCCGAATCGAGTTTGAAAAATTTGTTTTTTAATTGAGCTTAAGTATTTTTAAAGATCAGCTCATTTAAGAAATGAGTCTGAGTCTGAACTAGCTAAAAATAAGTCAAATCAAAGTCGAGCTTAAATATTTGTACATAAACGAGTCGAGTTTGTCGAATTTGAGCCGAACTTGTAGGACTTTGTTTTCTAAACAAGCTTAAAAATTTATTCAAGTTCAGACTCGTTTAAAAAAAGAACCGAGCCTGAAAGAGCCGAATCCGAGCTGAAATCAAATCAAGCTTGAATAGGTCAATTTGATTAATAGTCCTTGTAAGATAGGGTAGGAATACAAAAATTAATGATTATTTCGCATTCTTATTTGATTTAATCAAAAATCTAAAACTTCATCTACATTTTTATCTGATTTTTTTAGCTAGTCGTTCAATAGAATCAGATAGGATTAGACAGAATAACAAATTATAGTTAATCAGAAATTTGAACACCCCTATATATAACCTATCTCATATATGTGACTATTGAGTACAAATAACCCAGAGTTCATAAGCTTCCTTCCGGCCACTTCCCATGAACCCTAATTTTTATGTTAGGTAGTGAGTTCTAATAAATAGAAACCTATCAATTATTGTAATTATTAAATTTAATTTTTAAGTTTATGTAATATTGCTCTTTTTCTAAAACAGAGGAAAAATACCATTAATATTTTTCTTCGCGTATAATGATTTTCTCGATTTTGTATTTATAACATCTTGGTCGTTAATCAATTTTTTTTTTAACATTGCTCGATGTTCCTTGATTTCCTATCTATCTATTATTAAAAAAAATTAATTCTGCAGAGACTATTTAAGATGTCTCTCCTTTATAATTAGTAATTTTCGTAAAATTTGATTTGTTTATATATAAAATAATTAAATTATTCGGGTTCAGTTCCAGATCGTTTAATTTAAACCCGTCAAACTTGAACAAATTTTTTAGTTTATTCAAAAAATTAAATAAATTGAATTTAAATAATTTTTAAAATTTATTTAAAAAAATGGGTTCGAGAAACTCAAATCGGGCACATAAAATTCCACTCAATTATTCGTTTATCTATTACAACAAATATCTACAAATAAAAAACTAGGTTTCCCGGGAGAGAGAGAGAGAAAGAGAGAGAAGAAGGCATTTTTGGAGAATCATGGGAAAGGAGACCCCTTTTCGATCCTAGCACACCTACATAAAATCTGGAAAAATATCAAGTACACTCCAAGCTCTTGTACTTTCTCTCTCTTCGCGAGACTCCAGATTCGTTACTCACTACACATGAATTGCCTTCAGAGTCTCCCCAGGTCTGCTCAATTTCCACACAACATTTGATTCTTTTTTTTTTTTCAACATATTTCGGTATAATTTTTGCGTATCAGTTAATCATTCTGCTTCTTTGATTTTTCAGATCCTCTGCTTTGCCTCAGAGCTTCAAAAACCATCCGAGAAAGCCTTCGTGCTATGTCAATACACTGGTACCACTCACTCAAACGGCATCAACTTGTTGGAAGTTACAATTGTGTATAATACAATGTTTTGTTGATTTTTGGATGCAGAATTTGGTAAATGCTACTGATCGGAGTCAGAGACTTACCATGACGGTACTTTAAAATCCTATGGATTCTTAGTTCTTGTTACCGATAATTTAACCTGTAATTGTTCTTAGTTACAGTTTTTTTTTTCTTTCTGTTTTCTGTTGTGTAGATTATTGGATTGATCTACTCATTCATGCGAATTTATAATTACATGTTGATTTTAAAGTAGATTTGATATTTTAGTGTTCTTAAACAATTTGGATGATGTAATCTCTTTTGTAGAAGCATGCTTTATTCTTCCATTATCATTCTTTGGGTAGATTTGATATTTTAAAGTTCTTAAACAATTTGGATGATGTAGTATATGTCTCACTTTGTCATGTTCTGTTTTTCTTTTGTCGAAGCATGCTTTCTTCTTCGAATTTCATTTTTTGGGCTTGGTGTTAAGTTAAATTCTATTATGTATGCTCTATTATCTATTTGATTTCGGATTCTGTGGGAAATGCTGAAAAGCACTGCTGCGTCCCAGAATCATTTTGGGAGATTATTAGCCACCTTGATGTCCATTTAGTCAAGTTGAATATCAGAATTTAAGAATCTAGCACTTAGATTAGATTGTTAAAATTTTGCCTCAACACTTCATGAGTTCATGTACTCCAATCGATGAGTCATTTCCACTTCACTAATAAACAAAAATTTAATCAGTTTGTTTTGTTATTACATCTTTAAATAATTAGGAAATGAGTTAACAATAATTTAGGATGGTGTGTAATCTCCTCAGATGATTGGCTTCTTGCTGTAGAAAAAGTGACTCCTCTGGATAGACAAGATGGTCCGGAGGTACTATTTGAGAGCTGGATGTCCTGACTTTGGTTGTCCTTGGGGCTACTCTTCAAAAATTTGTTATCATAATTACCTAGTACATGTGAGATTGAAGGCTAACTGTATCTGGAAGGTTTAGGTGTGTGCTCTGAGGCTGGATTACCCCTTGTTAGCAAACATATAAAACTATTATTCAACCTTGAAAGAGGTTGCAAATTTATTATCTAGTATGCCACAGCAGGCATAACTAAAAGACCGGCAAGGAAATTAGCATCCATGTATAAAGCACTGTATCATGCTGATGTTCAACCATATGTTGTATATGCACCAAATAAATGTCATAAGTTTGCTGATTTCTATGATTGCACCAGTTATAGTATTCGTGTTTTGAAAAAAGTGTTTTTTCTATTAGCCTTTTTTCCTGGATATGAGTGTGATTTTATGTTGATGATTATTTGCTTTCTGTTCTTTAGGCAGTATCTGGTTCTACATCCAGTACTGATATGGATGGTGCCAAAGTAAAGGAGGAAAAATCGGAAATATACAGTCATGACATGACTCAAGCTATGGGTGCTGGTTAGTAATTCATGCTCTGGTAGCAAGTTTACACGTGAGGAAGCTGCAGAAAACTGAGTGGAAATCATATTAATTTTTTTCATTTAATTGCAAGAATATTTGCCAATGTCGATTGACATGTTTTCAGCTAAATTTAGGGCTTCAAATTTACACCACCCACATAAAACTAACTGCCCCAGACCTGTAAAACTACCGGCTGCTGAGATGTTCTCACTTTATAAGGTGCTATGTTCTGATTGGTCCGCTGCTGGATCCGTGGCTGACATGTAAAAATTGGGATAGTGTAGTTTGTTGGTTTGTTCTTTCAAAGCTTCTTGAATCTTGACAATTTTTTCTTTCGCTAAACATTTGTTCTTCCAGCTAACCTTTACTTATATTGTTTTACACACAGTCTTGACCTATAGGCATGAACTTGGAATGAACTACAACTTCATTCGTTCAGACTTGATTGTTGGATCATGTCTGCAGGTGATTATCATGCCTACTCTTAAATTTATTAGCAAATTCTACCTTCGCAAAACAATCTTTTGAGTTTTCTATTTTCTTTAAATAGAAAATAGAATATTTTCTTTAAATGGAATATTAGCATATTCTACCTTCACAAAACAATCTTTTGAGCTTTCTATTTTCTTTAAATGGCAGACTCCTGGGGATGTCGACAAACTTCGCAGTGTTGGGGTGAAAACTATTTTTTGCTTGCAACAAGATTCAGATCTTGAGTATCCAACAAGTTTTAATTATGTTCCAAATGTTAAATTATTTGAATTCCGAAAAGCTGTACTTGCCTTTTCTTGCTTCACTATACTTGGGAGTATCTATTAAGTGTTGATATTCAGAAAGGGGGACAAGTTTTAGCTGATTTATTGGAGCAGCGAGGGACCTCTTTGACCCTTAACCTGTATTGTCCAGATATTTTGGGGTCGATATCAGTGCCATTCGTGAGTATGCAAATACATGTGATGACATTGAGCATTTGCGTGCTGAAATTAGGTTAGTAATGTTAGAATATTGATTATGTAATGTAAGAAATTTCCATTTTTTGCTAGTCAGTTTGCAAGAATAGCCAGTTGGATACCTTCACAGGCAGGTGCAAGTAGCAATGTTTTATTGCTTTGTAACCTAAGAAACACGAACATGAACACGTGCACAAGCACGGACACAGACATGGACGCGGACACGACACGGAAACATTCGAATATGTGGCACAAATATAAAATACATATTAATTGATTACATGTATGTAGATTTATAATTATATTTTATTTTAGATAATAGAAAATCAAGCACAAATATAAGATCAATGGTAACTGACTTAGTGTTTATGGATGTTTTGTAACTTATAATATATAGTAGTGAAAACAATCTAAATAAGAATTCTAAAATGAATTGCGATCCAAAATAACGTTCCAGCTAAGCTTACTTCATCGTATCGTGTACTTAATAAAGTGTCGTACTGCATACTCGTATCTGTATCACGTACTTAAGCGACCCACGATCCAGATAACCTTATTTAGGACTTGTTTGGTTGTCGTATTGTGGAGAGTATTAAAGAGTCATGTGGGATTAAAAGACTTTAATTTGGGCTTATACGACATTTGGATGTCAAAAATCACTTAGTATTGTTTATAGGACTAAATCAATACATATACTAACCGTATATTTTTAATACCCTCAAATTGTACTATAAGCTAATTTTAGTACCACCCGAAAGGTGGTATTGTAATCTAATCAAAAAATATTATGATGTAATTTTACTCTTTTGCCCCAACATTATTGTAACTTACTGTATCTTCCGCTCACATTACACGTCTCTCACTTGCCAACTCTACTTTTCTACTTCGCTAAAAGTCCTCTTATTTAAGCAGAGATCCTTCCTAATTTTTTGTCTTCTAATTGTTACTCTATACAATATCAACAAGAATTTTCATGCAACCTTTTTGGGAAGTAACATAAAATAGTATATAGATTTGTGTATTTAATCATTTATGTGTATAGATTAGAAACAAAATTTTACATTTGTAATTATTTTGACCGGGTATATTATCATATGCTTGAATTTTATGTTAATTTTTTTTTATTGACATTAATTATTTTTTTTAATTTAATAAGTTTTGATCTATTGGGTCTCTGAAAAATAGCTTTAAGATCCATATTTTTTATGCAATGTTTTAACATTCTTTGTCAGTTGTCTCGATTAAGCCGACATTGATGGTGATAAGGTTAACATACTAATTTAGTCACATGGAATATGCATTAAACAATAAATTATTTTTTTTCAATTGAGGCCATTTTGGTCAATGCAATATTAATAACATTGCATATATGAACCAACCAAATGTAATATTATACTGAATTAATGTTATCCAACTCTTATTTGGTGTATACCAAACGTGGGATGGGAATGGAAGGTATTCTTATCTCTCAGTTAATCTTGGATTTTGTCCACTTATACGAGATTAATAATATAATCCCCTCTTTGTACAATACGATAACCAAACGAGCTCTCATAGTATTAGCTACTTATTAGTAAAAGTTTTAAACTTTGTTGGTCACATGTCAACACATGTTTATTATTTAATAATCGACATGGTCTAAAAAAGTGTTGGACATGCCACCAAAAAAGTGTCGGACACGGGTCCAAAATTAAACTTTTTTCACTTAATTATGGACACGGATAAAAGAGTAACGGACATGCGTCCGTGGAGTATCTGAGGCGTGTCAGTGTCCGACACGGATACGTTCCCTCCGTGCTTCATAGTTTGTAACCTAAAAATGATGCAAACACCGAAAAGAATTTGCTAGAGGATTTCGTTTTTGTTCACGCAGCAGAGTAATTGATTTGGGGGCCCTGTGCCAGTGTAGACTATACTTGCACATGTGGTGCAGTTTTGGCATTTTAAGTCTCAAATTAATGTTTTCTGATGCAGGGATTTTGATGCATTCGATTTGCGGATGCGGCTTCCAGCTGTGGTGAGCAAATTACACAAGGCCATTAATCGAAATGGGGGTGTAACTTATGTACATTGCACGGCTGGACTAGGTAGAGCTCCGGCAGCTGCGGTATGCATGGCTAGGCTTTTTTTTTTTTTTTTTGCTTTATATTCCTCAGGTTTGGTACCTTTTAATTGTAACCGAATGCGACATTATTATTTAGCTATATCAGGAAGGGAAAATCGAAGATTCTTCCCCCCCCCCCCACCACCCCAAAAAAAACTTGTTCTGGTTATTGGAATTTCAAATAAATTAATTATAGCAGCTGCATTTATTTAGTCATCATCATATACTCATCCACTGGACAAAATCTTGTCCCATCAATATATACATCTTCTTTCTTTACTTTCTTGCAACATTCCATCTGCACTGCCAATTTTGCGTAGCTTTAGATCTCTAATATACCAGATCTAACCACTAAAACTTTAAATATTTGTTTTACGGAAGAATAAAATTTGATTTACTTTTTATGCCTGCTGGAAGGCTGTGCTTGTGTTAACAGAACCCTCTTGCTATATACATCTACATGAGCTTTTTTTGGTTCCAAATATTCATTTCTCAGAGATTTGTTCCTACAGTACTATTGAAAATCAATGTGAAAATAATTCTGCAAAGTTCCTTCATATGTATACCCTTCATAATGCTATTCAGTTGCTTTGTCAATTTCTTTGAAAGAATGTAATCATATTTTCTTTCAGCCATGGTGAGGTGCTTAGTGAGCTGTGTACTGCATTGTTAGTTTTTTTAAACATTTCAAATGAATATCTCAAAGCTGCCCGAGTGTTCTGGTTATAACTAATAGTCTCTTAGGTAGTTGACTATGCTACATGCCTTGTGAATTTCTTAGGTACAACTTGCAAAAATTAAAATAGTCAGGATGTTAGTAATAACCAAGGAACTACACATCTATTTGTTTGTCTGTTATTTGTTTCATTTATTGTGGTTCAGTGGGAAGTCGAGTCTTCATTGAGGTGATTTTTATGGCTACAAATAGATCTGAATATGAACTTATCACCTTATAAGAGTGGCCAGTGAGAATTGAACCCTTATTCAATTTGGTTCGTGTAGGGAACCATTTTGGGAGTCAACAATTAGAGAATATTTTATCTATTTTTTCTGCCTTTGCTTTGAGGGCCCACCTTTACCTATAATTGCAGCTGATGGTGCTTTATTAGATGAACTGGCTGTGGCTTTCTGATTGCTTGTCAAGTTTTCCATTGTGCAGCTAATATTCATTGTCATTTACGAATATATCTCGCTGAACTATAACTTTTTCCTTGTTGTTTAAAGATCGAGGATTTGTTTTGTGCCTCCAATACTGATTGAGTATTTGTGTTTTAAGGGTTAACTTTTGTTCTCATTAAAAAATATTTGTTCTTCCATTGTAAAGCTACAAGATGAAATTTGCAATAAAAATGCTCAATGTTTTATGTGCAACTGGTGAATTTATTCTATACGATCTTGAGATGGCCCGGTTAAAAATATAAGAAATGTGGTCTGGGTAGGAGAATAACAGAATGAAGATTGCCCCGACTGTCAGCTACCAAAACCTAAATTCTCTTGATCCGAAGAGCATAATAACTACTATGGGAGTTCTTGAAACGTGGTATACAAGATATATTGGGTTGGAAGTACAACATTATTTGTTATTTAGTAGTGCTGATAAATAATGTCCTAAAGTTTTGGGTTGCAGTTGGCATATATGTTCTGGGTTCAAGGCTACAAGCTTAGTGAAGCCCAGAGGTTAATTCTGGTAAGTTGGTTTTGTGTTGTTCTTGATCATTGTTGGTCTTTCTGTGAATACTTGGTGCACCCCATTGTTTGAACGTAACAACAGTGATTTCTTCTAAATTCTTGAGGTAATTGAAAATTGGCAAGAAAATTTTATGTTGGGTTTTCTAACCAATTTTGTGGGATATGAATTTCTATTGAGATTAACAAGCTTTGTGGGCCGAAAACCCTATTGATAGTAGTGTACATGGCACAAATGATTAGGAAACATATCAGTCTCGATGTTTACCATTTTGAAGATCCAAGTTTATTTTAGAAGACTTTTCCAGGAATTTTGTGCTGGTAATTTAATGAGAGTTACTCAAGAAATTGTTTCTGAACTCTTGACTTGATATCATAAGGAAAGGGACCAAGTCTTCCGATGTAGCTCAATATTTTTCTTTCGCCTTACAGAGCAAGCGTCCGAGCTTCCCAAAACTGGATGCCATAAAAAGTGCAACTGCTGACATTGTGAGTCACTTGTTCCCTTATTATAATATGACATCAGTTCTAGTAGTCATGTAGAACTATTTTATAAGCCTGGGATTAGAATTTTTGTTTCTTTACATCTGGAAATTGTGATTTATGGTCTCACAGTATCATTGATGCTCAATATTGCTCTAATACAATGCTGCCTGAGTGAACTGCACTTTTGTTTGAGAAAATCCTCATTCTGTTCCCTAGAAACGAAAAGCAGTTTTACTTTCCTAGCAACCACTTTTAAAGATGTTTCCTCCTAATGCTGTAATCCAAGTGTTTTATTGCATAAAACATTTAAAATTGAACTGCCTATCAGTTGATTGCAAATTTTTTGCTTATGAATTCATTCTACTTAAA